ATGGGGAATCGATCTCGCCAGTTTAACCTCGGTACTGTGTAAATCTATCCACGAACAGCAAGGCCAAATCAATAATCTCAAAGCTGAACTCAATGAGTTGAGAGCGATTATGTCTGAGTAAATATAGAATGGTATCTGTCAAACCCAGTTCGTGGCGAAGACCGCTTGCCCTCAGACTACTAACGCTAATGTCGTTGATACTGATCAACTACAATGTGATCGAATTGTCGAATTCCACGAGAGGTTATATATGGTATTGGCTCAGGGATAATTTCGCACCGATAAATATAGAGCAGATCTTGAGTAAATCGTTGTAATAGAGTATCATGGGCTGCGGACCAAGTAAAACGATCAAAAAGAACCTGACTAACCCTGAAACTGGCCAAGTCATCGGTTCAATAACGATGCACGCTGGAGTGGTTTCGATAGGGAATAATGCTTATATCCCTATGTACAACGTGCATAGTGGCAAGAATGCTGTCATGGCTATCGATATCGGAGATAAAAAAAATCAGACTCAATCGAGAGAAGAAAACAGACGTAGACATCTAAGTATATCCGCTCTGCTCTATAGAGCAAATGTCTTCACAGACTATGACTTTTTTTTTGGCTGGTAAGCCCAGACTCGGCCGCCTTCAGTTTGGGTAGATGCCTCCACCTTCTTGGTCGACTTGTCGAGGTCAGTAGCCCACACAGCGGCTTGGGTCTTCTGGGGACGATCATGAATGATGAGGTGCTTCATGATAGCTTTCAACTCAGCGACGTTGAGGTCGCTATTGTCACCATAGCTGCCTCCGGAACTAGATATAATGCGCGAGTTGAAGAAGAACATGGTTTTATAATAAACGGGTGATAATATCTTTGAACTCTTTATCATCAATCCGTCGATTGCTGTACATATCCACCGTGAGAGACTTGAGCTGCTTGATGATACTGGGGTTGTCATTTCCGAGTTGTAGCTCTCCTTTTAGCTTATCGTATTCAGCCCTAAGCGTATCTAGAGGATCCTCTAACTTATCGTGGAAGCTGTATTGGAGATGAGTAATCAATAGAACCTCCTTGAACAGTTTCTTATCTTCAACGCTAAGCTTATCGTAAGCGGATTGATCGATACGGTTCTTATAGACCAGTGCCTTGATCATGGCTTGGAGGCTATCACTGATTTCCCACTTAGGACCACATTTACGCCGATTCGGCTGAACGATCACGAGCTTTTTAGCATCAAGGTCGGGGATACGAATATACTTGCTTCCGATCTGCTTGTATGTGTAGGCTGACGGCGTTGCTAATCCTTGGATCTCATTGAGATTGTAGGTACGGCCTCGGCGAACTAACTACACCTTCCAGCGGGGCAACACCTGCACCGCGCAATCCTCGACCTTGAAGCTTTCGTTTAACGCCACTGCCGGATACCTCGCTTGCCTCGGCGTATCGCTTAGCCTTCGTTTGATATATCGATTTTGTCGCCTTCATAGCTGATGTAGCTGCCTTCAACACCGATCTCGCTGCTTTTGAGTTATTCCCTCTACCAGCCTCTTTTGCTTCTTCATAGCGTTTCTGAGCCTCACCGTATGTCTGAAAAGCTGCTTCTGACCCATCATGAAGCTTTTGCAAGCTGTCATCGTATTCATACTCTTCAACGCTATGCTGTCTAATATCGTGTACAGACTTTAGAATAGCCTCATTCAATATTTCAAGATTAGCATCCAGGTTTTTACGTCTTTTCTTATCAAGCTCCTTTTCTTCAAGTATCTTAGCTGCTTCTTCATCGCTCGATGGGAAGGGTTATTCAACCTCATTAAGATAGCGGTCCAAGTCCTCAACCCCGTTGAGTAGGGACGAAAAGGTATCCATCCACATGATATTCTTCATTAGCCCCTTCCAAGCTACACCACTCACCTGCTTGTGTGCTTTGTTTTCACGATTTAAAATATTTAGGGGTCTAGACCCCGATGGCTGCCCAAAGTAGTATGATGGATGGGACTTAACAACACCGTTGATTTTCACGATTGGTTGTAGCCGAAATGGAATATCAATACTATCAGCGTGCAACTGGCTGTAGTAATCAGTTAAGATATTCTTGGCTTCGTTATCAGCGTTTGATAGGCTTGGGTCCATGTCTTCATCAAAACCACTCATTAACCCATGCTGAGCTTCACCATTAGCTGGGGTAAAATCATTTATGTGTTTGGTTTCATTGCTCTCAACTAGTTCTAACTCGAGGCCCCTGGCTTTAGTCATATTAATGAAAGATTGGAATGTCATTATCCAGTTCACCTTCTTAGTGGTTGCTTGCTTCACACGATCGCTATCTTTCCCGTAAACGCTAATGCTATTGCCATTGATCCAAACATAGCCATCTTTGTCAATAGGAGAAGATTTTGCGGAACCATTAAGAATTGGTACAATCTTCTTTATCAATCCGTTAGATTCAAGGACTTCCCTATTTTTGCTAATTGTCCAAAAAATAATTTAAGCTTGCTGTCCATTTGATCGGATCTTGTGGATGTTCCAGTATCGAACACAAAACTGTCGTCAAGTCTCTGCATAGAGCGGTTTGAATAATCTCCTTCTGAGGCATTGATTCTTTTTCTTTTTGAGCCAATATTTTGCCAAACCTGGTATGGGCTATTTTGTCCTCTTTACCCATCTCATTACGTCGCTCCTTCTCATTGACGTATGCGAGGAATCTGACATCATTAATTAATACCTCACCAATATGGTCATACCTCTCAGACCAATCAATGTTCGGAACTAGTACATATTTTCTCAGTTTAATACTGTACACCTTAGCATTCATCCCAATATAATACTTAGTAAGCTGCCGGCCGTTGGAAGCAATAGGGTGAATATTTAGTTCTGCAAGGATGGGGTAAACCTCGAAGATTTTAGCGACCGCTTCCTTTGACTTTGTTTGATTTTTCATCTCAGCATTGCCTTCGTCGAACAAATCTTCTTCGACGGGCTTTTGCGGCAGTGGACTATCAGGGCCAACACCAGCATCTGTCATTCTTGCACTATTATCAACTCCAACATCAGTCATATCGGGGCTCACGTGGACCCAACCATCACTGGTTTTGGGCTTAGCAGTACTGGAAGCATCAACGGACTGAAGCTTTGCAGTAGTCGATGCATCGTTCATTTCAGGTGTTGCATTAACTTCAGCATCTACCATTGTTGAGGACTCAGTTTTTTTTGGGCGTTTTCAATATTCAGACTTTTTTTTAACTCTTCCGGCGTAGCCTCGTCAGGGCCAACCGAAATATCAGACTGAGCGGATTGTGTTGATTTCTTTGGAACAGTAGTGATACCATTCGCGATATCGCTAGCCCATGATGCACCTTCGTACATAAGGCGCTTGGACTTGGCTTGACGAACTCGGCGCTCAGCTCGTATTCAATTACCTTACCTTTAGCTTCGTTGGGGGTCATACCAATCGTCCGATGGGTCGTGCTATTGTAGTTCTCAATAACAGCAGCTATGAGCTTCTGGGTTAGTCGCTTTGGTTCGATTTTGACAAGGCGCTGCTTCAGAGTTCTATTGAAGCGTTCAATTTTACCCATTTTGGCGTGATCTCCAGGCTCATTGTTGAAATGGTCAATTTTCTTAGTTTTGAATAATTTCTGAGCCTGTTGGTTCATGAATTCTGAACCATTATCGGTTGTGAGAATGTCAACCTTATGGAGGCGGACAAAAACCCTAATTGCTGCTAGTGCGGTCGGGCCAGTTTTGTTGGTTAGTAGTTTTGCGTAGCCTAGGCGAGAGTTGATGTTGATCGCAGTCAAGACTGGTCTTTTCTCCCAAAACGCCAAGTCCATCTGCCACGAATTGGGGTTAGTCGATGCGATTTTGAACCCATCCTATCGCTTCTTCTGCTCCTGAAATCGCTGAATATCGCTCTGGTTTGAGTACCATTCCTTGACGATTTTCATCGTAATCTTCGGCTCCAGTTCTTTAGCCTTCTGGTATAAGGCTTGGGCACCTACATAGCTTGTTTTGGGGTCATAGTATAATTTGGACAACAGCTGATCCATCGCTCTATATGGTTATAAAACTAAAAAATCCCCTGCCAGGTAGTTGCTTATATGTCGAGCGGTTCGGTGGTGATACCATCCACAAGTACACGACGCTTATCATAATAGTAGTTTAGAGCTGTTTTAGTCTGGGTGTACGTAATGATTGACTTACTCTCCTTACTGAGTCTAACCCCTTGTTGGTGCCCTGTAGCGTGATGCGATCGCGAACAACTGATTCAAAGCCATCTGGGTTGAGGATATTACCGTTTCGACCACCATTCTGCTGCACTCCCTTCGCGGAAACCTTGACCTTGTAAGATTCGTCTGGTAGGTAGCAAATGTAGTTCTTAGAGGACAATGATACCATAGCATCACCAGACCACTCATCCTTGGACAAACCTGGCGTTCGGCGATCAAACTGAGCCATCTCTTCGCTATAATCACGTGGGAACCACTCGTACTTATGCTGCTGAAAATGCTCACGAAGCTCGGGCTTGATACACTCAACGAATGGCTTCTCACAGCTGAACGCAATCTGTGTCCATTTCTTGGTACTGGAATTCCGAACGGTCGAAGTAGAAGTCAATGCAATCATAGTAGAATTGCAACATACGGAGCTTAGCGAGCTGATAGATTGCAATCGATAGATGAATTGGGTTCTTATTGTTGAGCTTTCGCTTCTTCATAGTGAATTCACATGAATCATCCAGCTCTTCCATTCCATGGAAGGTGAAGTGCTCAATCTTGGCCTTGATTGCCTTGTCGTCCGACTCATACCTGACCTCCTTGTGCTTGCTCATGTCCATGCCAGATCGACCAAACGCACTATTACCAACCAGTTTCATCATCTCAGCAATCATAGCCTTATTATTGCTACCCTCACTAAGCGTTTTCAGCTTAGTCAACAAGTCTAGAACCAAATGAATCTTAGGATTGGTTGTCGATTCATTCATGAATCTATCGATAATGAGCGCATCAAATGATTTAGGGTTCGTAATGGTTTTTTTTCAACTCTTGGACTAAATTATCCATATCAGAGTCAGATACCTTCGCAATAATGATCTTACAGATGGATTTAACATTTTCATCACCCTCTCGTCGCGCGCTCGATACGGCTTCCATGAATGGTGCAAATGCCTTGTGAGAGCTAGCCTTGATGAAGCTGTAAGTCTTGGTGATCTCCATACCATGAGAAATGTACCATTTGAGTAGCGGTGCATAAATGAGGATCTTCTCACCAAAGTAGCTCCCGATAAGTTTGCGAGCCGGCTTTGCTCGGCTTTGCTTGCGCTCCTCGTTGTACTCGAACATGTGCTGACCGATGACACTCCGATCGCTGCAGTCGATAAGGGTGTTCTTGAAAATTGGGGTCATTTCACTGAAGTAGGGTTTGAGGTGCTCTGGTGTACGGATATCACACTCGAGGAAGCCAAAGATCTTGTCATTTACAATATCATCGACGATCCCTGTGTATGCTTCGATGGTAGTCAGCCGTCCACATGGCATCTCATTACCAAGAGCCCACAAATACAGAGCATTAGCATCGTAGCCGATGATCTTTTTGCAGATCCTACCCCCTCGAATCTTGGTCTCGTTGCGTTTCGCGTATCTGTTGAAGATGATAGAAGGACCACCAGCAATGTTCGCCTTCATCTTGGTGTAGATGTCCTTCTCCTCTCTATCGATACTGTACACCAACCTGTCTGAGTTGAATTCAAGTAGCTTCTTGTGGCGGAAGCCCTTTAGCGGCATGTTCTTGCGAGCAACGTTGCATCCCACACAGCTGATCAAGATATTATCATCGATGTGTCCGAGCTTATTATTGATTCGGTCAGCCGAGGCAGTGTCAGCTGTGAGTTGCTTGTAGCATAGCCCACACAGGTATTTTTGTCGCTCTAGCAAGTCGTTGAGGTGTTCTAGCGTCATATTGCATTCACGATCGGCATCAGCATCCTGGGTCTTATATCCACTTAAGCGACTAGCGGGAAAGTCAAACGCTTCAGCAGGCTCCTTACTGGGTTGCTGGAGGTTGTTGAAGCACGTCTGATACATGGCTTTCTCAGAGAGACCAGGTAGCTACACACCATCAGTGAACATATCAAGTTCGAAACGTTTGAATAGTTCTCGCTGGGCTTTGATGGCCTTGATGAAGGGTACTACATCGAGGTTGTTGTACCAAATGAGTAGATCCTTGATTGACTTCATGCCATAGTGTTCCCAGACGAACTGTACCCGCACATAGTCCTCATCGCTGATGCTAGTGCTACGAAGAGCACTGTCGAACGCCGACTTAGGAGGGACTTCCGTCTGACTGAGTACGTCAAATGAAGTAATGTACTCGTACGGGAAGATGCCTTTTCCTAGGCCACAGACGCATCGAATCTTGTCATCACACTTGCACTCACCGAGATATGTCGACAAGTACTTTGCATAGCTGGTGCCTGCCGGAACATAGTTGCTAATGTCAAGCATTTTTATGTCTGACGTGGCGATGCACATGTAGCTAGAATTCTTGATGACTGATGTGATGTTGTCGGTACCGATGACTGCAAACAGGTCCGCCTTGATGAGGTTGATGTCGTAGCGTCCAGAGTTGAATCCGAATACTGGTACCTGACCAATGCACTGCTTCAGCTTGCCATAATCCGAGCGCTTCTTACCGAACGTGAGCTTGCTGTGGAAATCGAAGAAACAAGCAAACTCCCCGTTCTGAATCCAAGCATTGACATCATCCATCTTGTACGTCTTACCCAAGTCTAGACCAGGAACCTCAGCGTCAGTCAAACCATGGACGTTGATGATTTTGCGGAGCAAAGACTCGTACTTCGAGACGTTGTACTGCTGAATCTTAGCCGCAACTTCCTTGATGTACTGGAACATATCCTTGAGCAACTCCTTCGGGTCATCGCTGACAAAGCATCGCACCTCCTCAGTCAAGCTGTCGGCCACGGAAACAGACACAGGAATGTGTTCGTTTGTGAAGATAGTATTCTCTTCGTTTTTGACACCCGTAGGCTTGAGGATAGCCTCAAAATCATAGACAATGAAGTGATCGATGTAATGGTCAGCATCCTTGATGGAGTACTTAGTCAGCATGGAACAAATGCTGTTCGGAGCGGGTTGGTAGATGGTTGGCTGAGCTGGGAACGATTCGATGTTCACGAGTTCGCATTGGTTCTTAGTGTGGTTGCATAGCTTATCAGAGCTAACAAACACCATCTCACACATAGAGCATTGGTACTTCTGCTGGAGCATACCAACGTTCGTGATGTAGAGAGCGTGATTCTCGTGCGACAGGATGTTGATCGAATCATAGTCCTTGTCCGAGCAGCGAATGCATTCAACCTTGCCCGTCTCAACATCCATGTTGAAGACGTTGATGTTCAGTTTGAAGCACTCCTCAAGCTCATCGAATTGGAGAATGTCGATAGCTTGAAATTGCGGAACAGACCCAGAGTGTAGGTGATCTCCTTGTACGAACAGTACTGCTTGAAGGCTTGTTTCACCAGAGCCTGGATTCTGCGAGGATCCTTCTTGGCTCCCTCCTGCTTGTGATAAGCAATGCAGTGGAAGACACACTTGTTATTCGTCTTGGGGAAGTTGATGACGTGCTTGTTATCGCGGATCACCTTAGGAATGACAGCCTCACTATCGCCCAGCGCATGGTCGCGCTGGTAGATATAGATTTTGAAGCCAGTAATACCCTTCACCATGTACCTGGATCTGGGGTAGTTGAGCTTGTCAGCCAACTCCATGGAGCGAATCTCCGAGATCACCTTCTTACGAATATCAGCCTTGCTGTTGATAGCCACAGGAGTGCTAAATACAGATGTGTTGCTAATATTCGGGTGGAAGTAGCGAGTCTCGCTGTCATCGGTTCTGCTGACAAGCTTGTATCCAAGAGCGATGTTGACCTTGAAGGCAGACTTCTGGGTTGCAAGCACGTTCTCAAGCTTGTCGTAGAAGTCAGCAGGCTGGATTCCCTCATATAGGTGCGACTCCATGTGTTTGCCTTGGTAGAAGCGGTACTTACTGTCTTCCTTGAAATCAGCAGCCAAATTCTTTTGGAGCTTGCCTAGACTGATCTTGTACTGCTTCGCTACCAATTTTTGGTTGATGGGGTGGGAAATGTTGCTAATGTATACCATGCGCCCCGTCTTGCCACGTACCTTAATACGGTAGCTGCTACCCCATCGGATTGGGTTAATATTTAATCTCTTAAGACCTTCAAGCTCGTATGCGAACATTGCTATATATCGGTGGCTATATTATTCTCCGAAAAAACGACTTTATAATATTGGGTCTTGTATCAGGATTGACTTTATATCATAGGCGACTTTTTATCCGAGGAAAAAGATTAATTAATTAATTAAGTTCGGTTTCATTATTAAGTTCGACTTCACCATCAATAAGTTCGGTTTTGGGTTTACGCTTGCGAGCTCGAATCTGGTCTCTATTCTTGTCATCGTTGTCTTTTTGATAAGATAAACGGGCTTCGCGTGTGCGCTGGTAGTAGCGCTTCTGCGCTGCTTTGATTCGTTCCTTGCTAGCTTGGTATTGCTCAGGAGAGTACGCCATCTTTGTATATTACTAACTTTATATTTATCAGGATCAAAGTATGTCAAGAAATCAAATACTACTTCGAAGTATTTAACTCGGGAGCCACATTATTCCATTCAATCGACCGCAGGAGTCATATCCCAAAAGCTTCTCCAACGCTCCGCATTATCGTCGTGCTTCCACCTCATGCACAAACAAAATGTTTCTGGATCCTCCACGTGAACAAACGTCTTCATCATGAGCGGATCGTCCGTCGTGGTTGATCCTCCTTTCAAACGACTGAAAACGCGATCTGTGCACTGAGCATCCAGAACCTTCACGAAGACCTCGACCTACACGCAAATGTCAGTAAACTTACACACACCAGAACTACGCGCTCACACAGTACCTTGCGTCTGTTGCCAATGGATTGATTCTCTTCAACAGATCCGGGTAGCATGTTGACGATGGGAACCTCAATGCTCATACCGTCGAACCAACCATGCATTTCGCGAGAAAGCGCAAGCCTGTTGTTTGAGTCGCGATCGTACTTGGCGAATTCCCGTTTGTGGTCTCTGCTTTGCTTTCTCGACACCAAATGGCAGCTTTCTGCCTTGCCGTACGGTAGGAAGAACTTCGCGTCCTCAATCCGCTGAAAACGAAACTCGTCAGTCGATGGGTCCAGATTCGAAACGCTTGTAGTCAACGATATCGATGAAACTGTGTTTTGAGGAGATTCCGAATCGTCTGGAACGTAGTCGCAGTAGAAGACGCGCTGGAGATCAGTAGACACAGCGTTAGCTGGTGCAACACGCGTCTCAACAACCTGGTTAGTTAACGGAGAGCCCAGCGTTTGTGGCCCAGTCCTTAAGTCAGTTTCGAACAGCAAAGCAGCATCTTCTATAAAAGAAACAGAGTTAGCCCTCAATGAAGCAGTATTACGATGCAGCGACAGCATATAGAAGCACGTACTTGTCTCGAATAAAACATGAAAACACAATTTCTTGTCTTCATACCAAAACGCGACATTCTTGTTGCCGATGCAGCGCGTAGGATCGTAGTATCCAATGCGTAACGTCGCCATCCAGTACAGTTTGCAGCGAATCCCTTTCGTGTTCAGCGCGTTGTCAACGGATCCAGTGACAAGCCACAATCCAGTTTGTGCGTGTTCTTGCTCCGGAACCACCACCAGCACGTGAATCGTCTTCTTCGTTGGAGCACCTTCAAACACGTCGCCAATCTCATCTGCTGGGTCCATTTCCACGTTCAGCAGTGTCTTCACTTGTTCAGGAATGCCTCCACTTCGCATAGAAATCACATCAGGGTCCTTCGATGAGAGCCACGCGCCGCCCTCCGTCTTCGCCAGGAAGAGCTGCAGGTCCTTGGCGTCGCACGTGATAGTCGCCGGGTTCTTCGCCTTGGTCGCGTCCTTCAAGTCTCCCACCGACTGACCCGCGTCAATGTCCACAGGAAACGCACTGCCCGCCGCACCAACGATCGCACAGAAGAGCTTCACCATCTTTCCTCGAGCCGGCAGATTCTGGAATGAGGAAGAAGGATGTAGAATTTCTGGCGTACTTAAGCGAACATGAAGGTGTGTGACATAGATTTTCAACCAATGATGAGACGCCACGTCGCGCTGGTCCGAACTACTAGTAAAATCTGCCGGCGTAATGTTCTATTGGTTTATCAATGTGGTTTGAACGAGCGGTCCCGAAACGCCCTAAGGTCCAAAAGACGTGGCTCTCGCTATAAAGTGGGCGTCGTCAAATCAACGTCTATTAGATCTGACCGGTTTAGAGGTTCTAAAACTACCCTCATATCGAAAAGACGTGCGAGCTCGAATCTGGTCTCTATTCTTGTCATCGTTGTCTTTTTGATAAGATAAACGGGCTTCGCGTGTGCGCTGGTAGTAGCGCTTCTGCGCTGCTTTGATTCGTTCCTTGCTAGCTTGGTATTGCTCAGGAGAGTACGCCATCTTTGTATATTACTAACTTTATATTTATCAGGATCAAAGTATGTCAAGAAATCAAATACTACTTCGAAGTATTTAACTCGGGAGCCACATTATTCCATTCAATCGACCGCAGGAGTCATATCCCAAAAGCTTCTCCAACGCTCCGCATTATCGTCGTGCTTCCACCTCATGCACAAACAAAATGTTTCTGGATCCTCCACGTGAACAAACGTCTTCATCATGAGCGGATCGTCCGTCGTGGTTGATCCTCCTTTCAAACGACTGAAAACGCGATCTGTACACTGAGCATCCAGAACCTTCACGAAGACCTCGACCTACACGCAAATGTCAGTAAACTTACACACACCAGAACTACGCGCTCACACAGTACCTTGCGTCTGTTGCCAATGGATTGATTCTCTTCAACAGATCCGGGTAGCATGTTGACGATGGGAACCTCAATGCTCATACCGTCGAACCAACCATGCATTTCGCGAGAAAGCGCAAGCCTGTTGTTTGAGTCGCGATCGTACTTGGCGAATTCCCGTTTGTGGTCTCTGCTTTGCTTTCTCGACACCAAATGGCAGCTTTCTGCCTTGCCGTACGGTAGGAAGAACTTCTCGTCCTCAATCCGCTGAAAACGAAACTCGTCAGTCGATGGGTCCAGATTCGAAACGCTTGTAGTCAACGATATCGATGAAACTGTGTTTTGAGGAGATTCCGAATCGTCTGGAACGTAGTCGCAGTAGAAGACGCGCTGGAGATCAGTAGACACAGCGTTAGCTGGTGCAACACGCGTCTCAACAACCTGGTTAGTTAACGGAGAGCCCAGCGTTTGTGGCCCAGTCCTTAAGTCAGTTTCGAACAGCAAAGCAGCATTTTCTATAAAAGAAACAGAGTTAGCCCTCAATGAAGCAGTATTACGATGCAGCGACAGCATATAGAAGCACGTACTTGTCTCGAATAAAACATGAAAACACAATTTCTTGTCTTCATACCAAAACGCGACATTCTTGTTGCCGATGCAGCGCGTAGGATCGTAGTATCCAATGCGTAACGTCGCCATCCAGTACAGTTTGCAGCGAATTCCTTTCGTGATCAACGCGTTTTCAACGGATCCAGTGACAAGCCACAATCCAGTTTGTGCGTGTTCTTGCTCCGGAACCACCACCAGCACGTGGATTTGTCTCGACTTTGGAGCGCGCCCTTTCCGTTTGGTCATATTGTTAGCTGTCAACAC